TAAATTTTAAGCTCTCTTGCCTAGATTTTAGGGTCTTTTGTAATCTGAACTCCCCGTTGACTTTCCAATCTGATCTCTTAAAAATACCTGTCTCCAGGTCAATCTCCTCATTCTCACTAACATATGCCACTGTTATTCTCCCCTCCATGTATTTGCTCCCGTTTCATGCAATGCCCTTCCCTTCCTCTCTCCCTGCTTAAATTCTATCAATCCTTCAAAGCCCACCTCAATTCAATTCAATTGTTAAATGCTTTCATTTTTCTAGGTCTCTTGCTAGTGCAACAATGTTTTGATGCATGACCAGACTAAAGATGGCCAGAGCAAACCCATGTTGTGCTAGATCCTGGAAAAATGAAGATAAGACATCAAATTTGATGATAAGCGCAAAGGAAGAGTCCAGGAAATATACTCTGAGAAATTTGAGGATGGAGAAATCACTCACCCTTGAAATGATCAGGAAAAGCTTTTTGGAGGACTTGACATTCAAGATGGGACGGTGAGAAAGAAGACTTCATTAGACAGGGGGAAAGCCCATTCAAAGAGCATAGGGCAGACCTGCACAATTTGGCAGTAGGTAGAGGCCAAAATTAAAATAGGCTGAACATCTTCAGGCCGCAGATAGGTTTTTAGCGGATCACTTTCCAAGTAAGGGTATAATTAATGATTAAACTACTTTGCAAATAAACCATATTTTTTTTAATGAGACCATGGGCTTTATTGTATCTATACATAGAAATTGGGGAATTCCTAATAATAGACTACCAGATGGTTGAGGAATTTCTACATCATTAGTACATCACGATGTGGGGAAATGATTGTGGTTCCTACTTTTCTGCAACACTTTCCTCCAAGAATCAGCTCAATTGTCACTTTCTCTCTCTCTCTCTTTTTTTTTTTAGGCAATTGGGGTTAAGTGACTTGCCCAGGATCACACCAATTGTCACTTTCTATAAGAAGTCTTTACTTCTCCTTAGTTGCTAGTACCTCCTCCTCATTCTAGGTTATTCTCTCTCTCTCTCTCTCTCTCTCTCTCTCTCACACACACACACACACACACACACACACACACACACACA